AAGGCCAGACATAAATAAATGAGAGGCAATCTCTCCATAAGATGGTGGCTTGATTACTGAGGATGCAGACAGATGAATAAATCACCTTGGGGTGAGATAGGCTGTAACTTGCTACACATCCATGAGAGTGGAGTAACTGCTCATGTGTATCCTCCGAGCCCGAAGGAAATGAGAGGTAAGTGGTATTGCTGAAGGGATCTGCAGGGTAGGAGCACACACGTGGGCAGTTACTGCAAATTAGCTGACGCTCTGCAAGTTCACACCCTGATTTGCCCTATGGTAACTTTTTAATCTCCCTCCATTACTGTCTGGCCTCCTTGGATTTACATAACTGTAAAAAAATAAGAAAACAAGCAGAGAAGTGATGTGGCATGCTAGGAGCTTTCTTTGAAAAACTATCCTCTCAGAAGTCAACTGGAGTGCATTGAAACCCACTACTTCAAAGGTTTTAAGACTATTTTATTGACTGGAAGGAAGATGATGGTAAGATAACTTGGAGCACCTTGACATGAAGGCTGAGAAACCCAGGCACAAAGCTGGAGACTTGCTCAACACAAACACTGGTGTTTGAGCGCGCCAGGACGAGGAGCGGGAGCCAAAGGAAGAAGCAGGAAACTGAGTTTGCCATGGGCCCTTTGATTTTTCCAACTTGTTCCCCTTTCCCTATGTTGGGCCACTCCGGTTAATGACTGGGTTGCTGTCACTAACAGCTTAGAAGTTGAAATCGTCGCTCTTCCCCACGCAGAAATAAGTGCTAAGGCTTTTTGGCATCTCTCTCCCACGAGCCTCTTCAAGCCAACAGAGTCTTACCTCTGGTTCTACGTGATGCCAGAGCTCTCAGGTTTATACATAAACTGAGGCGCAATTTCAGGCTCTTGGAATACTTGGCATTTAGCTTTTAAGGAAGTTTGAAAAAGACAGTACTGTTACTGCCCAAAGTCCTTCTCCCCTTCCAGGAGAATCAAAGGGAGGTGACTTGACTCTGTGCTTTGTAGCTGAAGGGAGGGAGGGGGCACGGTCCATACACTGCAGATTCAATCCTGGATGAACCAGGTGATTTTCTCTGTCCTCTTTTTTGTCTATGAAGATGCCAAGGAAGAAAGATCTGGTCCCAAACCCTTCCCACAACAGGAAGGTTGTCAAAGGCCTTTTAGTGTGGTACATCTTAGTGGTTCTCGTTCTGTCTTGACCTTTTCAGGGTGTGGGACAGCCTTTCTGCACGGCCCAGGGGTGCGTGGGAGTCACTCAGTCTGTCTTAACTTTATGCAAAGCCTTTTCCTTGGAGCCACACTTGCTGTGAGCTGTCAGTAGGCTGAGAAACAGGCAGGGAATGATTGAACATTTATTTCCTACAAGGCATCAGAGCCCTGTCTCAAATCTAGCAGAGTCCTCTGAGGTGCAGATCTGTTCAGAGGTAAAGGCTGAAGAGCCGGCTGCAGTGCAGAAGCCCAGCTGAGCCATCTGCTGAGGTCCACTTCACCTCACATAAGGCAATGAAAAATCACCATCACCCAAAGGGTGTATATTCTTCCAGGAATCTCCCCAGAGTGAATAAATATGTTGGAGATCAAGTGCTCCAGAAATTCCACCAACACCACAGAAGTCGCCCAAGAACTGGGCTTTTGGGACATTTTAAAGCAACCTCTCTAGAAATCTCCATGTAGGGAGGAAAGGTCTGTCAGTTCTGAGAGCACCCGAGTAGCCAAAATGCCTGGATTATGTTAGTCTGGGAATCATCTCAGCCTGCAGCTTTTCTTAAGGGTAGCAATGAGGCTGTCCTTGTTTATCACCTCTGTACCTGCCATGAGATTACTCTCCGATCAGACCTTCTGCAAGCTTTCTAAAAGGGTGAAAAAAGAAAGCAGACAATGAAAAGAAAGGAATGACATCTCACAAAGCCGTCTGCAACTCCTGGCACAATCTACCTAGTCTTTAGCCATAGTTACCAGTCCTGGAAAAGCTCCTAGAATGAAGTGATGAGGCACTCTAGAGACAGAGGCTGCAGGAGAAAACATCAAGTGGCATCCTGCAGGGATGTGTGTAGAAGATGGGCAGTCCTAGATGGCAAGGGCTGGGACTGGCACCAGTGAAGGCAGCAAAAACAACCTTTCTCATTTTTATTTTCTTGTGCTGTCAAAAAGACAAGAAACAATAGAGACAGGAGGAACCAGATCACATCCAACGCCCTGAGGACAAAATTTGAGACTTCGTCCGCCCGAGTGACCAAAGGTTAGGAGCACAGGGCAGAGACCTCTCGCCACAGCTGCCACGCTCATTACAACACACGAGCATCCTTCGTCGAGTCCCCTGCAGCCCTTTTCATCAGTGTCCTTAGACCCAGCCACGAGAGAGGCCTTGGGGAAGAGCAAAACGAGCGATGGAGCGGCAGCGAGGGCTGCCCGCCCTGCAGCCCCTCCCTACCCGGCTCTCTGTGCTCCTCTGCCAGCTGCCGGCAGAGGTGCGGGTAAGATTTCTGCTCCCTCCCCTCCTTTTCCCCCCTCTCTTTTCACATTTTGAGGGCCTGCTGGGAAGGGAAGGTTTGAAGGATTTCTCCTTCCCTTTCCTCTTGGCTCAACTACTCCAAAATAAACCGCCCCCAGCAAAGAAACGCAGTACTGCTTAATAAATTCACCCTGTAAGGATAAAGATTTCATAGAAGAACGGATTACTTCCAAGGGTACTAAGATAATTACATGGGTAACTAGGAAGAGTTCAAGAAAACAGCTTGAATTTTCTTATCAGTTTCCCATAGCTTGTAGCAAAAAGAAAATAAAACACTCTACTGTAATCAAATCATGTTTTCTGAAGCCCTCAGTTGGCAAGTACACAATTTCTTCACCACTTCCATTAAAACAGAAATCCTTAGAAGAAAATGATAGCATTTCAAAACGGAAAGCAGGGCCCGAAAGCACCACGTCAGCTGCTCACAGTACGTTCTTACCTGGCGGGAACAACACGCCACGTGAAAAAATACCTCCTGTCCCACTGCGAGACAAACTGCCTCTCGCTGACCGTGGGGCAGGAGCGGGCCCACGGCCAGTACCTGCAGCACCGAGGTGCTCGCCAGGTGCTAACTTATTCCTGCACCTAAGGATACAACAAACAAGGATTTCTCACCTTAACTCAGCAAATGCCTGTAATATTTCCTGCGTAAAACCTCACCCTTGCTACAGCATGTAGCTCCAGAAGCGGCTAGTTACCAGCAGGAGCCATGGTGACATACAGGTATGCCCCAGTGCTGCCCAGTAAGGGTCTGTGGGAACACACAGCACACCCTTCTTCTGAAAAGGTGGTTTTCAGCATCCTTTTGAAGGGCTACCAATGGAGCTATCACATAAGATCCAACTATCTCCATGGAAGACCACGAGTATCTGTTCCTGACATCCTTGTGGGTTTGGTTGCCTTTCTAGTTTCCCAAAAATAAACTTCTGAAGATTTAGGCTTGAGAGGACAGTCTGGTTTTATTCTCAGTGCATGCTTCTGAGCTACAATGGACCCTCGCCAGCTCCTCCTGTGCCAGGTCTGTGCTTTCCCAAGTATCATGCATCTTTTGCTTATGACCATGTGTGTGATATTAGTAGTCCAGTGCCGATACCACCATACCTAAAGAAAAGGGCAGGTTATAAATATATAAATTAATCAACTTGAGTCATAGCACTTTAAAAGTGTAGATTTTTAGTATCAAGCTTAAAATGATTAGGGTCAAATCATACAAGATAATGCCATTAATAGCAATCAACAGTTTGACCACTCATTAAAAAGTAGCGGAAAAAAAAGAAGTGTTAAACATAGAACCTTTACATCACGTGGAACAACCTGTCACAAAGGTTTCAAAAGCAGAAAACACGCATTTATAAAGAAATGCAGGCATTAAATAGCATTTATGATACATTTCGAAGAGTATTGCCCCCCCACTCCTGCAGAACTGCTCCAAGTTAGAGATGGCAAAGACACACATCGGACACGAACACTGACTTGGGCAAAGTGCTACGCGGCACCGGCCGGATCCCGGCGGCAGCTGGGAGAGCCCAGCCCCATCCCTGCTCTCCAGGACAACCAGCTGGACTTTCTGGGCCAGAACCGTGGCAAAATTCCAGCCTGGCCCTCCAAAACTCCTCGTGCTGTGCTGAACATACCCTCAGCAGCAGGAAACAGCCTCCGAGGAGGCACACACCGCATGAGCTTACAGCCTGGTAGGACAAATATATTAAATATGTACTGCAGGAGGTGATGTAAATAAATGTAGGTCCCTCAGAATAACCTCCAATTCACAATTCACAGCCCAGACGCGAGCACGCCAGGTAAAGCAGGAGCGCACAGGCAAGTGCACACACACACACACACACACACACGCTCTACCTGAAACCCAGAGTATTCAATCTAGATTTATTCTACTACTTTTAAAAATATAATTCCACTGATGGATTACAACATCTGCTCCTTACCAAACTTCAACTTCTAGACTCTGTAAATACTGAATGTATTTATAGGAACAATGTCTCATAAGGCACTAGAAGAGGAACTTCTTTATATAAAGTGTCTATAAAGAGTGAGCCAAATATCTGGGAGAATTCTTTTACATTTTCATTTTTGAATCTAAAGCAGTTCCGACCTCAGAATCTGATTTTGAAAGACTAGCTAATATATTGTTATGGTGCTCAGAACAATCCCCCTTGCAGTCTCAGACCCAAAATACATCTTTTCCGTCCATGAAGCCAGGTGTCCACCTCCCACCGACTGCAGCAGGAATTGTCACACTTGAATTTCACTGAAAAAAGGATACAGTTTGGAAATCTGACACTTCAATATTCAAGGTATTGAAAGCATTTCCTCCCCGTTAGAAATTGTTACACAAAACAAAAATTTTCCTCCCCTGGACGAACACAAATCCCCACCAAGCCCAGCCCCTTCACTCCCCTGGGCATCACTGAAACAGAACCAATGTAAATGTTTGCTGCTTGGACTCAGGTCTCACCTTAATAAAGACAGCCCACGCGTAATTGTGTTTGTATAAAAGATATTTACTTCAATTATCACACCTAGGGTGCTAGTGAATAATAATAATAATAATACATCGTGTGAGTTTCATACAGTGATATTGCTTCTCCATATCATATAGGGACCGTTGTACAGTGCTGAGAACAAACATTATATGGCTAACCAAACAAAGACAGAAGAAACAATGCCATTCTGCTGACGGAGGGAGCGCTGCCCTGCTACTGCCAGCCATATAAACTCTTACTTTTATGTTTAAACAAATACCAAGAAATAAAATGTTACAAAAGATGAGTCACAGCAACACAATGTGGGCTTCTCAAAGCTACTTGTACAAAAAAAATGACACTTTTTTTTTGGTCAATTGGGTCTTTGTGAGGATCTTTTTTTTTTTTTTTTTTTAAATCTGTGATTGTGAATATAACAAACAAGCTCTAAAAACATCTAAGACTTAGTGCGTTACAGAAAAAATATAAAATACTGCTAAAAATGTAAGACACCACAATACACTGGGGTAAAAACTGAGCTTATTATTAAAATAAAAAAAAAAAAAAAGTTCTCAGGAAAAAGTACACCACTTTCTGTTTGAGTTCATCTTGTGCTGTGTTAGTAGTCGGGGCATTTCAAAGGTCTGCCCATTATCATGGCAAGTAGTTATTGCACAAATGCAAAGAGTTAATTTTTTAATAAAAAAATGAAAAGGGACATGAGGGAAACAATTATAAAAAAAAAAAAAAAAAAAAAAAAGAACATCCCCCCCCCCTCAGCCAGCCTCCATCTGCTTTGGAATTAAATGTCCAAATTCGTACACTCGACATTCTCGCAGCATTTCCAGCGAGTGGGGCGCGCGGTGCCCGCTTTTGGAAAAGGAACGGCAGAAAATGCTTTTCAACAGAGAAATGCATAGAGTATTCTGACAGGAACAACCTTTTTGTTTTGCAGAGGTTATCCAATAGTTACTGTAGGGCTTTTTTTGTCTTTTTTTTTTTTTTTTTTTTTTTTTTTTCTTTCAGACTATGCCAGAAGGAAAGAACCTCGCGTGGGAAATTCATCTGATGGTTTTTAGTGGGACACCCTCGAAAGGCAAAGTGCAAATTTGCTTCCAAATCCACAGAAGTGGTGATGTGCCCTGCAACTAGCTCAGCACCTCCCATCTCTGCCCCCCTGTCAGGTTTTTCGGCGGGGCGGGCTGCTTCGGTGCTGACCGGAGGCCCTTTGCATCGTCCCTCGTGCAGACACGCGCTCCCCTGCCACGAGCAGGGGGAATTTCTAGCGCAACGGTTTTTACTTTGGCTTGTGCAGCTTTTCTCTCGCTCGCTCGTGAAGTGTTACCTAGCCAGGGAAAGCCTGTCTGAACGTGTTTCGACACTGCAAGAAAACTAAATGACTCCTCCGTGACAAAGCTCAATTCACAACGTGTATTTCCAGAGTTCACACTGGGAAAAGTTGCTGCTGCACAAGGTGTTCGGTTTGTTTGTTTGTTTGTTTGTTTGTTTGTTTTTTTTTCCTCCTTTTTTTTTTTTTTTTCCTTGACCAAGTTTGAATGAGAAGAAAATCAGCTCTGAATTCAGAAATTCAAACATATGCCAACAAAGATGAACATCACAGGAAACCAGTCTCTCATTTTAAATTAACACTCTTGAGTAAATCGCAATGTACTCTGACAAAGGGGCACTGCATCTTCATGAAATTCTCAGTAGAGGCTCTAGGAGGCTAAGGGTATTTTCTCTCTCTGTATATTTTAAGTCTCTTCTCTCACAACTGAGGCTTCTTATTCTCAGTCCTAAATTATTTTAAAACTATTTAAATAATATTATTTATTAGGCATTTAGATAAAATATTTTTTTTTAAAAAAATGATTGCTCTAGAAAACACAACAGGGGCACAATGATATGGATACTACGACAAGCCGACAACCACCCAGCTCCATCGCCAGGATAGCCCAAACTTTCTCCAACGTCTGTTTAGGGGATATGTATACTCCTGTTGTGTTTATATCCAACAAAAACAAACCTCAAAAAAGAAACTGTTAAAATTAATCTCATAAATAGGAAATATTAGATTGTTTTCCTAATTACAAACCACCTTTATATATTTCACCTTATGATGCTGTAGAGAGAGCAAGCTTGAAAAATAGCACACAAGCGCTGGTAAGGGCTGAGGATGCCGGTGGGCGAAAGCCTGTTCTTCACAAAACCAAACTCAGACTGGAATGACTTTACAGGGTCTCGCCACCCAGAGCCAGCGCGGCTCTGGGCACGGCAGTGAGGCCAGCACGTGTGACTAACGGCACAAAAGGACACGGTCACAGTTGGCAGTGGCTGGAGCCCAGGGGTGTTTCTTGAACGCTGACAGCCCTGTGAGTACGCCGGGTGAGACTGAGCCTCACGAGCACGAACGCCGCCGGGTGACGGTGGACTTCCTAACCCGCGCCCCCACCGTGCTGCTGGAGCCAACTCAGAGGGATATGTGTTTTTTTTCTTTTTTTTTTTTTTTTTTTTTCCCCAGGAACCTGAATTCTTCTAAACTAGAGCTCACGCTCGCCTGCGTTTGGCGGCTGCGCCACGAACCTCCGAACGCGGAACGAGAATTTCTATTGCACAAAGATTTAACGCACAGTGTTTGAAGTGCTCGTTAGCAAAGGGGCAACTCAAGTCGGGCCACTGAAACGCTCCTGGATCGCTGCTTGCTTCCCCCCCCCCAGTGAAAAGCGGCTGTGAATGCTGCAATCTAGATCACTGTGCTTTAGATTATTCTCCACAAAGAGATTATGAAATAAGGCACATAGCTTTCCAAATACAGAAAGTTTGTTAAATAGTAAATTTTAGGAAAGTAGCAAAAAGTAAAAACATAATGGGAAATGTGGTAACATACAGGGTTTTGATGACACGCCTACTGAATGAAAATAGAATAATTTCAAGCTCAACTAAAACCTTTCCCCCACAGAAAAAAAAGATCCATGAGCTCCATCTCTCTAGAGGACACAAGAAGGAAATGAAGTCCTGATCAAGGAAAAAGAAAAGAATGATACAGATGTGACCTTGCTTATTCCCCACACACCTCCTTTACGAACTAGATGCTTAAGTACTCCCTGCACAGTCTGTACTAGCATCCAGAGGTAACTAGGTACTTTGGAAACACTTTTAAAGCTAGTAATAATTTACCCACATATAAATAATACATCAAAATAGCACTAAGGGTCTAATGTAAGCTAACAAAAGCCAGAGAAGTCTGATTGAAAGGCTGATTGTAGAAAACATTTTTAGCAGTTACTGGGAGGTAAGATTGTACTTCAGAGCAAGTCAAGTGCCGAGTTTTGTTTCTTCTCTTGAAAACACAACACTCGCCTTCTACGAGTTACTGCATAACAGAGAACTTCTGTCTCATTCCTAAGAATACTTGAATTTTCAGCTTAGGGAGAGCAAGAATTAACTGCTTGCTTTAATTTGATACTTGGCTTAGTTTACTGATCAGCCGTTTTTGTGATTGTTTTAAGTACGTCTTTACTGTTAACCTTCCCGCCGTACAGAGATACAGGAGAGTAGATTTTACACTTGCAAATATCTGGTGTATTAATTTCCTGCAGGTCGTATCGAAGCAAAACCTACAGACCAACTGCTGCAGGACGTTGCAGATGAGGTTTGACCCTTCCTTTCAAACTGCTTGGCTTTTGCACATCTCAGACCCTTGGAATTATTTTTATGTATTCTGAACATGATCTTCCCCCTCCTCGTTAGCTAAACCTGCGTATCTCAAACAATCCGATCTTTCAGATGGCTAATCCCTGATTTACAACAGGGAACTGAACTGACAAGTGGGAAAACAGCATCCTCTACGCATTAAAATACATATTGGTTTTAAGCCCTCACTCACCTACCCCTCAAATGATTTCACAAAACTGGCTGTAGCAATTCTACTGCACCATTACGACCAAGCATACAAATACTACATATACAGAGGGGCTTCTCCCTACTGGAATCATGTACATATACACATTTAACAACTCCTAAAAATGCATATTAATTACCCGCATAGACAGAAGAGGATAATGCAACTTAATGCCATCACTGTTGTTATCAATAGAGAGATTGTGCTGTTACGAACATTACCACAGAATTACACAGTAACTATGCAAGAAGCAGGTATGTCACCATAACAGCAGGAAATTCCTGGCATGACTCTCCATTTCCAAGGATCTTTGGATGAAGATTGTACTATGTAGTACAAATATCTCTAAAAACAAGAAGTCAAAGACACGACGTCATGGGGACTTCAGGCATCTGCCTTTGCTGTACTGTTTTCTGAACTATTTCACTATGGTTAAGAATCCAGTCATTCGCTGCACTCGGCTGTTTCAAAATACAAAGAAACCGATACTATGAAACCAACAGTTTTAATAAGAAATCTACAGAACTGGGGCAAAAATCTAACAATCACTGTGAGTAAAGCAAGCTTGAAAAATGGCAGCAATTGTCCTTCACAGAATAGCTGGACAAGGAAAAATACAATAATCTTATCAAGTTTTTAAAAGGACGCATTTCCTTTTAATGCACTTTAGTGCCAGAACATGTTTGTGAATAACAATGAAAATCAAACCTGGGAATCAGATCAGTTTTTTTCCATTCGCAAATTAGTTGTAGAAACTCAGACTTTAGAGACAGCCAAGGCCTTTGGGTTTGACGTGGAGTGCCCAGATTTTGGGAAAAGCGGGTGTGATGCCTCCATCAGTCCTCGGCTGTACCAGCAGAGGCTGGTGAGGGGGCTCACTAATGAAGTTCAATGAATGACTTCTTTTAACTGGAAAATGACCTTATAACTAATAACTGGTATTAAATATGCCACAGTACCGCTTGGCTCGGGGGGGAATCATCCCTGAGGAGAGAGATGGCACCACTTACATACCTGTTTTTAAGGCTTTTTGAAAATTTAAGTGCACAGGCCTAACGCTAACCTTCTCCAAAAGGATAAATTTCACCTTCAGAGCATAGAAACTTTTTATCCTTGCATATTAATAGAGTAGGGTATAGTACATGACCTGGTCATGTAGGACAAATCAGTCCCTAGGCATAGCATAAAGGGCTTTTCTTGCCATAAAGTTCATTATTAATTATATTTTATATATGGCATAGTCAATATATCCCATAAAAGAGATGGGGAGGAAAGAACAGATTGGTGAAATAATATTTCTACATTTTAGAGCTCAGATACCATATGTGAAAGAGACAGAGACAGCTATGTCACTTTTTAAACTAAAGTTGAGCCAGAAATGAAATCCAGTTCTCATGCTTTCCATGCCAGTGATTCTGCCAGTGATTCTCCTTGCAATTTACAACTATCCGGCAACATTTTAAACTGCTGGAAAAAAAAAAAGTCTGTTGTTTGTACAGAATTTTTTAAATTTCTATTTTTTTTTTTTTTTTTTTTAAGTAAGTTGATTGTATATGCAACACAAAGGAAGAAAATGTCGATGTTCAAACCGTGGGGCAGCAGAAAGTGCAAGGGGAAAGTAGCAGGCCAAATATGAGCGAACCGAATACTGCCTTGCAGCTGTTTTATCTGTGTGAGTTAAATTTAGGAATATGAGGCTATAAGCAGCCTGTCTCCTCAGGGCCAAAACTGCCACGCACTCACGGGAAAGACTTGATTTGGTTTTAATGTTAAATCTGGCCCCCACCTAAGAACCAACTTTTCTTCTCCTTGTGTGTTTCTGATAGTCTTCAAGAAATGCTCACAGCTCAGCCACACACAGTAGCTTTAGGACAGAGAATATCCTAGGATACGTACACTGGGTGAAGAAGAAAGACGAGATAATTTAAGAAACTCACTTGTTAGAAAGAGACACAAATCAAGCAAAAATAGTGCCCTCCATCTGCATGTTAAAATGTCACTGCTTGCGGTTTGCAACAAATTGCTAAGATTACTGATCTCCTTGCAACCTTGCTAAAGGCACTGGTCCAGATTACCGTGACATTTCAGTTTAAATAAACTATTTTGGATTTAAGTGCAAAGAAGTGTTCAAAACCAATTACTTTTTTCGTGTATTCTCATAATTTATATATGGTAACAATGTGGAGGTTTTTTTCTGTTTCTCACCTGCCCTGTTTTTGCCAGGAGCATTTTTATTTAATGTAACTTTTAAGAATACCTGAAATGAATAATTTTATGATGGAAAATGACAGACTTCTGACAGCAGCTGTGCTAGCAGGGACTGCAATCACTGTTAGCATTTTCCATTATTTCATTACATTATTTTGTCAGATTTCCCTCAGTCCTATTTTATGTGAATTTATCTGTTTTGTTTTCAATTATTGCCAGAATGATGCACTTCTCTAGCTTACTATTTCTCCCATTAAAGAAGTGAAAAATATCAACTTTTAAGTAATTGGATCAGAGAATATTGCATAGAATTCTGTCGTGTTCATGAACCCCGTTCAGTACACCATTCCCATATGAACAAGTTCCATAAAAATAATGCAAAGGTCTTTCAACTAATGAGAAAGGCACATACATTTTTTTTTTTTTTAACTGTAAGATAGATTATTCCCATTACAGCAAGGAGTTTATTACTAAAGGACTCACTAATTCATGATATGGGCAGAGTGCACAGGTACAGATTCCTCTGAAGAGCGGCTCTATTTATAGGCATTTTACAGACGAATAAGTAAAATGGTCAAATTTTACAGCATCAACAGCAGTTGTAATTAAATGCATTTCTGCCCCCAAAAATGCGCAATTCTGTTGTCTGAAATCCTCAAGAATGGAAGCATATTGACAATCCCACTGTATGACCCCGCTGCCAAGGGATACTCTCCCCTTGCTTTTAGCAAAGGAAGGACTACACTTCTTTCCTTCCCTAACCATCCAGAGAGAAAAATCGACAATTTTAACTGCAGTATAAACGTATTTCTGTTAAAATAGCCCGGGCCCTTCATCCACAGCTTTAGTAAGAACATGGAAGTGGCAAGAGAGAAAATAATGCTTTTAAAGAACCTCAGGAAAACAGACTCTGGCATTACAGACTTTCTGAAAACTGCCTGTGCTTTTATCTATCAGGAAAAGCAACGCTGCCAGCGAGGGCCCTGCTGCCACGCTCTGCAAAACGACTGCCCGGTGAGATGAGCCCCACGTCACACGTGCCTGAGTAATGCCTTCTCCCTTCCCGTGTGACCAGTGAGCCAAGAGGGTAAAAAGCCACCGTGCTACTCTTTGGCATTTCTTCTCCTCCAACTTCTTATCTTTTTCTTTTAATTAAGTAAAAAAAGTTATTCCAATACACATTTTTCTAAAAGCATTGCTTCCAAATGCCGCACTTGATCAGAAATATAGCTAATATCTTTCAGTGTTGCTGAAGTTCAGGCGCTAAACCAGGGAGGACTCTGCCAGTTTGGAAAGCCAGTAGGTAACTCATCTCCAACAAGAGAATCTCGGCAGTAGTTCAAGCTAACACATTTTACTTTCCACTGAAACAGAAAAGCAGCTGTGACCTTGGCTTAAAACCGGGAACAAAGAGCTGGGAACATCACTTGAACTCTACACGCTCGATCTGAGGGGGTTCGTCTGCCCGTGCCCTTAAATAAGGGGGGTCACTAAGGAACCCAAAGTGACTCCCGGCAGGATGGCTCAGGTCACCCCGACAGTATCTCAGCAGGCTAGTCCACATTCCACGCAGATCATTAAATAGGGAACAACAAAAGGAGCTAAGCCATTAATAAAGTGCCAAAAATATAGGAAACACTGACAGCATTTTATTTGATTAATTTTATAATAGATACCAATGACAACCCTTGGCAGGATGGAGTGACTTCTGACTTTTGAATGCTGTCTTTATCCAGCAAAATTACATGATTCAAATGTAATAATGGAGCTTAGAATTAACAGTTAGTGTTATAAAAGAAAGATTTCCTCTAGGGCAAGCTACAGATATGCTTTTTAAAAATCATTACAGCATTAAAAACTGGGCAGATGCTAAAGAATCTTAAAGAACTAGTGGAAACCTGAAAAGCAAAACAAAAATAAACAGAAAAAAAGAAAAGATATAAGTTTCAAGGCACTTACGTATTGCTTATTAAGAGGAGAGATTGACCTTAAGTGCTGCATTTGTGTTCAACCTGCGAATACAGTTCTGCTGTCATATAATGCAGCAAGAGCTCTCAGTAAGCATCATGGAATGCAATCATATAGACACAGGCACAAGAACAGTTTGGGGAATATTAATTTAAAAAAAAAATCATCAAACAGATAAAAACCTCATTAATGAGAAAGCCGAGAGTAACCACTTGACTGCATCAAGCACCTCGATCTCAAATCAGCAGACAAGGACAGTAGAAACAGACTGGCAAGTGTATTGCCTAGAATTAATAAAAAAACCCAACCTGAACCAAACAACACCAAAGGAAACAAATAAGGAACGTAAGAAAATATCTGCGCCTTCTAGTCAGAAGTTTTGCTTCTTGGCTGAAGACGCATCTGGTTATGACTTGTATTAAGGTACGTGTATTGTTACCAGGACGTGCATTTATCAATGGAGCTGTGCTTTGTGAGTCAAACCAGGACATTGTACAGATACAGAGAGGTAACGCTTTGCTTCACCACGGTATTTCCCTTGCTGGCCATTCCCACGGACTAACTGCACTCCAGATAAGAAGCCATAACCGTTTCCAGCACGTGCTGTCACATACTGGTGTCTGTTATTACAAATTGTCTCCTCAGCTCATCACAGAAAGGGGCAGTTGCTCTCTCTGTTTCTCAATTTTAGTTTTGCATCACAAGTCCCCAATTACCCAAGGAGGTATCCTGAAACAGCTAGCAGTAAAAATAGGAAATAAATCCCTGCCTTTCAGCCTCCTAGAGCCTTCTTTTCTTAATCATGAAAAGGATTGATTTTAGTGTACTGATTCTTAATTTGTGAAAACTTGCGCTAAGTGCTGCTGTTGCATGTTAAGAGACTGTAAATGAAATACATAAGTTCTAAAACATCATGCAAGAAATGTGGTTTCACATCTTACAGTCAAAAATCCTACTAATGAAGTAATACAAGCACACTGAGGTGTAATATTGGGAACATACCTTTAAAGTCGGAACTCCTCTCCCCACCCCTCCCTCCCCCAAAATCAGAAAAGTAATATTAATTAAACTTAAGAAGTAATGAATGCACCATTAAAGTGTCATCAAAAAGATGCTGACCTAAGACAAAAGTTCAATGATACACAATACGGTCAAAAAGTCTTCAATCAATAATATACAGTATGACAACTACATCTTGTAAATTATACCCAATACTGCCGGCAGTCTATCCCTCTAAAGAATATTTGCCCCCTTTCATCCCTTCCTAACAATCAGATAATAAAATACAGCACCTATAAATAAGCAAAAAAAAATTATATATATATATATATTTATATATATATATATTCCGAAATCATCTATTGTTAGTTTTAAAGATATGGCAATAAAGGAGTCTAAATTAGCAAACTTGTAGAAGCCATAACTGATAAAACAGCTTATTGAAAAAAGGTGGCAGTAATGCACTCTATGTGTGCACAAGTACGTAAGAAAATACACAGACGTATAAAATTGCACGCACACACTCACGCACACACATCCTTCCACACACCTCTATGCTCACGCATATACATATAGACAACAGGAGGAGTTAGAGACAAGTTAGAATTTGATTTGTACTTTGATCAGCCCTAACCTGTGCATAAAATAATGGAAAAAGGCTGTATTTCTGCAGAGCAGAATGGTCTAGACTGGGACTCGAGAGCATGAATGTTTTGGTTTGGAGTTTGGGCTATTTCTGTCCCGGTTAGAGCCCGTCTGGTCATTGCCATGTACTCTTTATCCACACAAAAATAAGCTTCCCACAACTAAAACGTATTTAAAATCAGTGCTTGTGGTGGGAAGAGAGTCAGTAAATGGCCACCAACAGCAGGAAAATTCTCTATCTGAGGCAGCTCCAGTCCCCTCTTAGTGGTGCGTGACAGCAATCGTACACGTGAACTACACTTTAATCGATTCCAGGTAAGTTGAATGTTTCGGGTTACTGAATACATCCCGAAAGTAGCAGGCTGAAATGTTACTGGCCAACACTTTTTGAGCGATCTGACTTTACTGAAAGGAAGTTCTGTACACTATGAACCAAGTGAAATGATCAAGTACATGCTGTTTCTAAGTTGTCTCCTAAACCTCCTAGATATGAGGTCTGATCAGCGTGCTCTGTGGTTAGAGGTTAAAAAGCAGATTATAAAATACCTAGATTCAGATTTTTTTTTTTTTGTCCTGATTTGGCCTAAAATGGAGTGTATTAAACAAATTCTGGTCTGCAAAAGACCAGAATCAGTTAAAGCTATGAAACAATGTGCACTACGTGTCAATATTCTATTTCACTTACAAGAAAACACTAAGTCAGCTACCACAAATTAAGATATTTTCCTGATGTGACTTTTTTTTGTTTTGTTAAAAAATATGTGGAGTAAATGTGTTTTTTTTTTTTTTAATTCAAAGTTTCAAACAACAAGATTCTTTTCTTTTCTTGAAAATATGTAGGAATCCAAACTAGTGTGTTTAGAGTCGGTTGACTGTGCAATCTCTTAGTGGCAACTGAACAGCTACAAAAAACTTTCTTTTTTTTTTCTTTTTTTTTGAAAAATCTCCCCTTTTATCCTGGTTTAAGAAGATAATAGTGTATTATCGCTCTGTAGCCATTAGATGGCAGATAAAAAGCCCCCTTTTAATATGTGGGTTTGATTTTTTTTTTTCTTTTTTTTCTGTTTTTCTTTTTTTAAAGCCCACACCAAAGAGGAGGGCACAAGGCAAAGCTGTATGAGTTATTCCAGAAATTGTGGAAATCACTTAGGGCAATAATAAAAACACTTCAGGGTACAAAAAAGCTTGACTACACATTTCAGTTTTCTTCCTCGAAAACACAAACATAAATTGGGCTTAACGCTCCTTTTTGTTTTCTATATGCACCTTGGCCTATGGCGTTTTTGCCCTGTGGCCCGCAGGGCGGATAAGTGCGCAACACAATAAAACCAGTAGAGGTCCAGTTTCACTTCCCAGCTCTCCAGAGTTGGGCGAGTTTAATCTCAAAACTCCCACTCGACGGCCTCTTCTCGACTCGCGGCCTTCTCCAAGCGGTGGATGATGTTGTTCAAGTTTGCCGCTTTCTTTTTCCTCAAGGAGCTGTCTCGCGTGTTCCTGGAGCTCGCCGCCTCGGAGAAGCCAAACAAGCTCTGAAGAGAGTTGGCTTTCTGCGAGCCTGTGGCCGGCGTCGAGCTCGTACTTGGCACACTGGAGATTTTCTCTGAACTTTCTTTTGACTTGTAGGAGCTCTCCCCTGTAAGGACTGAGGTGGAGGCAGCTGAGGTAGAGGCATCCCCTTCCGTGGCAGAGTTTGGCAGTGTCTCCAGAGCGTCTCCCGGGCGCTGCGATGCCGGCGGGGAGCTCTGGCGCGGTGCTCTGAGCCTGCCCTCGTCGTCGGTGTCCTCCAGGCTCTCCGCCTGGAATGGCTCTGCTTTCTCCGAAGACCTGGCGCCTTGCAGTGCCTCTTCCCCCGCTTCGAAAGCCGACTCCGCTGGCCCTCCCTGAGACTTTGTGGTTGCATTGCCGTACTCATCCGCCTCCGGGCCACTCGGCTTTCCTTCAGGTGGGCCTTCCGCGTCCACGCCGTCGCAGCTGTCTCCCTCGGAGCTGTGGGCCGCCCTGCTGCTTCTGGCGGAAGGAGAGTCGCTCGACCCAGCCTGGCTCTGGCTCCCGGCTTGGATCTCCTCGATGAACAGCTCCCGGCGGATGCGAGACCTAGGAGACAGGGGAGAGGGATGGTGAGCCTGCCGGGGGCCGCCGGGAGCCACCCGACTCTACCAGGTTCGCCAGTCAAAACGCCCTTTCGTAAGAGGCCATTTTGCCTTGGCTACAGGACGGCCGCACCAAGCTGCGTAAGCGGAAGCACTCACACCCTCAAACCCAAAGGACTGACGGAAAAGGTGTTTGGGAGAACATGAAATATTGGCAAAAGGCTCTTAATTTCATGTTCCCCAGCCGCAGGCCCTCTGTGAAGCCTGCTGTGCTAGAAGGATGCAGGCTGCAAACCCCAGACGGCCCCGGGGGCTCCTCCATGGCATGGCGGGAGGGCAGGCAGCTGCAGCCAGTAATTTAAGCAGATAAGCCATTTCTGGTAACTTCTGCAGTGCTTAGTGTTGAGACTGACCCCTCTGACTTCAACCAGGATTTTGCGTACTTATTGTAAATCTGATGTTGATGACCACCCCTTCTAGTAACCAGAGCAGGCATTATGGGATAAAGCAAAAATATAAACTTTATACAGATAATCAACTTGTACTAAAGTGACTGGTGAAAACCAATGACAGATCGTCTTTTCTTGCAAGTTTAAATAAGTAACACTCATAATTGTATACTCAATTTTTACAGCACTGGACATGGCTTAAGAGGCAGAGATGAAAGGCTCTGCAGTCTTCCATTCCCACTAAAAGTCTGACATCAGGAGGGTGAAACTTTACAATACACTGGACCAGAAAAGGGATGGTTTAAAAAATATTAATACATTCCTAGCAGATCCAGAAGAAAATGGTTTATAAATACAAAACAATTCAGATTTCTACTAGAAGTAAACCACCATTTGTCTAAACAAAAACAAACAAGGAAAAAATCTGGACAACCCCCTGAGTGCTCTCCTGGACACCAAGGAGAAACGAAGATGAAACAAAGCCTGTTGTTCTGAAACCGCTCTGGGGAAGCAGAGCCTTTTGACAGGTTGTCAGTCTGCGAGCTGGTCGGATTTCTGCCTCATTTTTTATTTAAAAAATTGATTTCAGAACACGAATAGCGTCAAGGCAAGCAGTGCATTTCAAGAGAATTAATGCACTCCAAGTGTGGTTAAAATTGCCTGGTGTACCACTGTGCGCCTCCTATTACTTCAAGCACGCAATAATACCCCAAACACACTACCTTTGTCATTTAACTTGGTCCTTCCTCCCTCTTCCTTCCCTCTTTAGGAGCTCCCAATATCTTCACAAGTACAGAACAGTTTATGAAAAAATCTTAGGGTTTAGGCTAACTCTTTCTTTGTAGTGCTCTATCAGTAAGAAGAGGTTATGGCCACTGTTCAGGTCCTAATTTGTAACCAAGAGGAAGCCTCAATGACCTGTGGTCAGGGACGAGGCTACAGACACAGGGAGAGTTTCGCAGGACTTTATATTTCAGAGCGAAGGTAATGCTTTTGGTTTCAGCCAAGGAGAACTGCTAAGGGTCTTGCAAATCACAAGTGAAATGCTGTCCCAATGCTGATAGCTGTACAAATTTTCCTTTTTTCCCCTACATGTGCTATGGAAGACAGCACACAATGAGAAAAAAATTAGGATAAATACAGAACACCGTCTGAATACTGCTTTTGAAGCTAATGATATTATCGACTTACTTGAAATGCAACAGAGTATTTCAGCAGTACTTGCTGACTCTACACTTTTAAGGGATTTAGGGGGTCTGTAATTTTCCCTAGGAGAATATCATTCACCTAACAGAAGACCACAGGTGCTAACATTAATTTTCTATTGCCATTCATTGCATGCATCCTGCAACATCGATTATCAGGCTCTATTTATACCTATAATGTCCCTGCATGGACACTGATCCAGAACATGCTGCTTCTGTAACATTCCCTGAGTCAGGAGAGGAAATGGTAAGAGCTTTGTGCCTGCATGGCATTTAAAATACCTCAGCTCCAGCAAGATACTGAATGATGTCATGCTCACCGAGTATCTGACCACAGCCCTGCAGAACACAGGTTCATGTCTGTGGGAATCCCTGGAATTCACACCCAATATATTGCTTCTGGGATCTAGTCTGGTTCCTGAGTAACACAGTAATTAAATCCCTACAGTAAGGAAGACCTGGTGACAGCAGCTAGGAAATCCCAGAGACTGTTCCTCTTGGTGGAAGGTGGTGGCCTCAACATCAACCCATCTTGTTGGCATTCATCAGTGTAAGTCCAAACATCAGAGATCTCCTGGGGTGTATGCTGAAGTTCCCTGTACAAGCCCTCACACGACATCTAAACAAGCACAATGCTACAGTTCATTGAAAAATATGCCCAGAGTAAGAGCAATGAAATTTAGGATCCAAGAGCGCTAGATTACAATTCCAGAAAATTTGGTTTAGTTCCTGATGCTTCTGTAGTATCATCTCTGTGACCTTACTGAGTTTACATGCCAGCTTCCAAATGTGAAGTGGAATAGAAATCCCTACCTCCTACTCTTTTGTACCATTCTTAAGATAAGAGAGCCTCAATATCTGATGTGTCCTGTATGTGCTTCACTAATGCAAAGTAAGGTATATTTTTATGTTCTGAGAGCTGTGTGATTGGTATGGATGCAAAGCCACAGACTTGGAGAAGTTTGCAGACATGTCAAAATCCTTTATAACTATTTATATTCTGAAATGAATTATATCTTTGCCTGCTGAAGATTTTTTTTTTAAGTTTCTTTTGCTGCAGAGAATACATGCTAGTGCTGATTTCCCATCTGGTGGATATAAAGGTAGATTCTGCTGTAGCAACCACCTTTCAAAAGCGAGGTTTGGACTGAGTCCCAAAGGAAAACCATCACTGCAACAGGATTCCCAAGAGGCAGGAAGACAAACTTGCCCAAATCTGTACCCTGCCTTTACTTTAAAGAAAAATTTCTATTAAAGAGTAACTAGATGGTCTCAGATGTGGAACTGCTTCTGTATGAAGACTCTTCAGCTTGGAAGATAAATGGCTAGGGGAGGGTATAAAGAGATAAATAAAGTTTAGTGTGGCCTGGAGAAGATGAAGAGGGGAAACACCACCCATTTCTTGTAATACATGAGCTGCAGAACAGTCAGACCCTGTTGCCCTAGCAGAACATGTAACTTGTACCTCTTCTGCAATGTCCTGCAAATGATTTAAGAGTACTTCATGCATGAAAGCTAAGAAAATTATTGTACAAAGGAAAAGAACAGGCACGTGTTTTGATTTTTCAGTGGTGGCAACCGCTCAAATCACCCAGGGCTCCAAACAGGCTTGAAACATCTCTTTAAAGTCCTGGAGAGTCAGCAGCACATCTGGGAGCAGGTCCAGATCACTCAGTGCTGTGAGGCTTGTGCTACTCACCAGCCTATAGCACCTTGTTTATACATTTTTTATTTTGTATACAACTGTCAGCACCTAGTCTACATTACTGTATAGCTTGGTGTGGCTAAACACGCTGATCAATCATGACTTGTCACGCTTTCTCGCAGCACGCCTAAACAGGAGATCTCATGATAATGAGGAAGATGACACATGCCACCAGTGCTCCTGCACTCGTCTGCGTAAGTGAGAACAGCACATTTTGCTGTCAGGCCGAAGGGAACATATTTTCATAGGCATTCCTCCAACTTGTGTATAATTGCCTAGAAGTGGGAATTGGAAGAGAGGCCTGCATTTGGAGAACTCTGAGCAGTGAAAGAGGCTGCATCTGTAGCAAATTCAAGTCAATGAAATTCAGTGTAAATATGATTACTCGTTGGTTATAATTTATAAATTTTATATTGTTTACTATAAACATTATTTAACTATTGTGCATAATATTTCCGAGATACCTCATTAAACTGTGCTGCTTCTGCTTCAGCAACTTCCCTGTTAAAAACTGAGAAGGGCCAAAGTGGAAGATACCCTTTCAATGTTAGCAGTTTCTAAAAAAAAAATTTTTTAGCAATCTGGACTAATTGGGAACATTACTGGCTACCAGTGAAGAAGCAAAATAGTCCTAAATCTAGTATCTTAACTGTACCTGTTCAGTATTCATTAGCACAAATTTTTGGAGAAAAGTCTGCTCCACTAACTAAGATTCCCAATCCCAAGCAGTTTATCCAAGCAGTTTTATCCCAAGCAGAATATGTTTATTCAAATCCTTGTAATTCTTATATGCCATTCCAGCATTGTTTCTTTTTATCAGTGTCTCTAGGCCAAAACCTACTTCAATGGTTCAAATGTGGAGAAGGTTCCTTCTAATTTGAGAAAGGAACTAAACAGATCAACATCTTATTCCATTTCAGCAGAACTCAGTGATTTAATCATAGAAATGAAATAAATCTCTGGCCAGAGCTGACATCAGGGTTATCGGTTCTCTGTCCTTCATGACTGTGTGCAGCTTCCCAGAAATACAGCACATACTGTGCCTATTTTCAGAGTTCAGTGACTCAAGACCTGAAAGAAAATCCTCTTTATGCTCTTATGAGGGAAAATTACGATGAAAGCAGTGCAATTCTGACACCACCCAGCAGAGGACACTTCCAGGAACCCCCCACCAAGTGACCCAGGCACAACACACACTACACACACCTATATGTGTGTATATACATGTGAGTGTATGTCTGTGTGAGTGTGCATATGCAAGTAAGAAAGACCAGGCGTGCTTACTGCAGTGGGATTTGTAAATATTCAACAGTGGACATCTCTAAATCCACGCCCACCTCAAAAGCACGACTTTCTGTTTAAAAGCACTACTTACATCAATATGTGAATATTGCTGTTCCTCAGGGATGACTTAAAATTAGTCTGGAGCATTAGCATTACTGTTAGTTAGAACGTGCCTGCTGTTGAAACTGTTTCGTACAACTGCTCAACGCTAGCGGAAGCGGACACAGTCTGCTGAAGCAGAGTAGCACCCTGCCAAAGCAAATGAAATAAATCCTTTATGAGTAGGGCTCCCGGGAGAGCTCATACCTGTAATTGTGGAACCAGTTGATCACGGTGCTGGTTTTCAAGTTGAGCTGCGTAGCGAGTTCCTCAATGGTTTTTGGTGATGGGTATGGCTTTTGCTGGTAGGCTCGTTTCAGAGCTTCTTTCTCTTCTGGTGCCAGCACCACCCGGGGCTTCTTCAGCTGATGCTGCGGCTGCGGGCTGGCTCCCTGGCTGTAGTCTATTCCAGCGGATGAGGACTCACAAGACTGACTGTCGCTAACGGAGCTGTGTCGCCGTTTCATGTAGGCTGAAAGAGAAGTACATCGGATCAGCCCCAGCTGAATACAAATGCAAAATCAATGAATATACAAGCTGTGGAATAAATGCCAAGATGACAGGCTGTAGGTGCATGGATGGGCTATTCGGAGAGAATAGAAAGGAAGGTGCATCATCAGCGATCAGAGGAAAGCAAATGTGGGGTTGATGCAAGAGGCAGAAAAAGAAGAAAGAAGGGGAAGAAAAGAAGGTAAATCGACTGGAAAACTGCCAGAGTTTTCTGTGTTTTCAATGAACATGGGACAGGAGTAACAGGGTTCAGTTAACATGACTTATTTCAAATTTACTCTTTCAAGAGTGGTGAACTTCCACATAAGCACCTGATTAGGACAGCTGCACTTCGTTTCACCTTAAATGGTTTTGGTTGTTGAACACTTAAGGTGTACGCTAAGGTCTCTCGAACACTTCAGGTCTCTGAATGAAAAATCTGCCTGTGGAGGCGGAAGGCAGCCGCAGCCACGTCGCCAACACACGATGGCGCCCGGAGCCCAGGGATCCCGGTGATGGGCTGCGTAACCCACCAGGCCTTTGCTGCTTCTTCCTACAGATCTTCGCTATAGCGGTGACAGAAAAACAGCCCACAGCATCCTCCTCCCCCTACATAAGGCTCTTTCAAAAATGCATATACTTTCAAGAAAGCTCTTGCTCCACTGATTGAGCTCAGTGAGGTTGATGGCAGAAGCCTGTGACACCACCGCTGACTCTCCTTCCCGTTGGGGACTGAATTATCCTGGCAAATTCTGCAAGGAAAGAGTCCCAGCTAACGCTGTCACTGACTTGATTGATTTACACTGTGCAAAGAGAGGTGGGATTTACTGCACCTGGCAGTATCATGCACAAGCACTGCTAATGAGGGGGCTGAAAACGGCAAATATAGATGAATCTTGCCAATAAAATATTTAATGGCCTGTTAAATACTTTCTAGATATTTAAGAGTTTAGGTATTCAAGAGCTGCAATTTGATAACCTTGGCTGTTAAATTCCAGATTATACCAGCCTGACATGAGTCTAGCAGGCACTAAATCTCCAACAGCCAGGAGCTCTGATCAGAGCCAGGGACCCATGTGGGGCACATCACACTGGTCAGCAACCAAATTCTTCAAAAAATAAATTTTTCTCTCCCCACAGTTCTGCCTTTGGGCTAAGGGTGCACAAAGAATAAAGGTTGAATGCAATCAAATAAACTGAAATGTTCAAAGCCCTTCTCACATAAGCCAGCTTCTTCTGGCAGAGCTCCCTACAGTACTGGACAGGTTTTCTGTCTCCAGTGGATTTCAGCATCCTCTCCTCTACACGGTGGTACGTCCAGTGGGACCTTTTTACACTGTGTCTTGCTATCATCGAAGTGAATTTTGAACACACTCTGTAACCTTTGGGGGCATCTGCATGGCCCTCATTTTGTTTTTCCTGAATATGACAGATTACCTGTGGATTGCCTACTGTGTAAGATCACTGATATGGAACAGAACGTGAGTTGCTCATGATCCATCACTCTGCCATGATACAGTCCTACATGTATTTGAAATAACCATAAAAAATTGGTTGTTTTTTATTTTTTTTTAATACCCTTTACTAAAAATATCACCTATTTAAGTTCTTTCAACTGGATGTAGAACTGCAAAGTGACCACAGGTAAATGCATTATTTCAAGGTGACCTATTATTTTTTCAGCCTTCAGGGAACTGCTACAACCTTCAACCATGGAATTAATCATTCCAGCAATATAATCTCACATTCATATAAGGTCTTTAATCTCAAAGACCTCTAGGTGTTATTTCAAACTTGCATTGACATGCAGACTAGATACAAGGTTCCCTTGTCTCTTTTGATAGCACAACCAAGGGGGCTGAAAGACAGCATCTATCACTTCAGCAACATGCAGCAGCTTAAAGGAGGCCATGAGACAAAACAGAACCTCCCATGGAAGATGTGAAAGGTGTTTAGGCTATCTCTAACTGGAGTTTCAGGAATTTGGTCAGGCGACTGAAATAGCATGAGACACCCATGCATCAGGATGCTCTGAATCTCTGCCTTCTCTGCTCCCAAAGGATGGCATTTCTGGCAGGTCAGAGCTCCCATCTTTGGACTCCTAAGGACAGTTTGGAGCTGTGATAGCTTGGGAAAAATTTCATGCCCTAATGCCTACCTCTGCTTTTGTAACCTCACACTGGGATCACAAAAGGTGCGATGGCTTATTTGGGTCTCTCTCATGTAAATGGAACAAATTATATAAATGCACATATTTCCGTAACGTAAAAATAAAGAGGAGGATGTCCCACTGTTCTCTCCTAAGCAACTGTTTTTCTGAAGGTTAATATATTATCAGAACAAATTTCCATTGGGTCAATGGCATAATCCTGGCACTTCACCACATGCTGGACTAGCACCTAAGCTCTAGGCTTTAATGGTGGTCTCTGGAAAATTTAGATGACATTTATAAAAGCTTTTCCTTTTTAATTCTTATTTTAAACATATGTGCTGTGTGTAGACAACATAAGGAGGTCACTCAGCACATTTGCTGTGACAGTAAGGCTCAAACTGGAATCCAAGTTGCAAACATCCTTGAGTTTTGGAGAAGTTTGCTTTTTCTCTGTGATTGGTCTCCACTTTTCAGGAGATCTATGAAAAAAAAAAAAACCCAAACCCAAATGTAATTTGGGCAAAGGTCTGGATCTTGGTCTGAGACCAACTTGTCAAGGCCAGCTCTATCCCCTGAGTTTTAGGAGCTTTTTCTTCCCCTGCTGCTGCCAACCCAGCACCACCGTGTCCCTCTGGGATGACTCCCCAGCACGTGTTCAGCTATAGACGCAGCAGACACTATTGCAGAACTAGCAACTGCCCACTGAGGTAAAAGAGAGCCCCTTTTAATGTAATTTTTATCTTATATGGTACTGAACAGGATTATTTGAAAGCAAAATAATGGGGAAATAAAGGGAATTCATTTTTTTCCTGACAGCAGGCTTCAGTACTGTTCAGTAAGGAGTGTGACGTTACCAGCAGCACACACACCAGGAGGTTCTAAGAAAGAGGAATGAACTCTTCCAAGGCAGGAAGGGTGGTGCAGAGTGTCTCAGCCTCATGAGCGTGAACTCCCAGCTTCCTCCAAAGGGGTTAGTTAATGTACATTGAAAATTTTCAGAACCTCTTAAAATGGACATTTATAGCACAAACTTCAGACTGGCAGAACAGATAAAAAGATATACGCAGCACACCTTTATCATAATTATTAATTTACTCCGTTAATAAAATGTGGCAGAGAAATAACTGATAATAATGTGTCACTGGTAGCTGATACAGTTTGCATTGTTCTTTAACTGACAGGAGCTGAAGGGAAAGTTAAATTCTTAATGTGGCTCTAGAGCAATTTAAAAAGTTAAATCACAGGATCCTTACCTGCATGAAAGGATTTTGCAGAAAATACAGCGCTGAATTCACTTTAGAATGCTCTGCTATGAGGACAGCACTTACACAGTTCAGGAGCTCAGTACAGAGTCTCAAAGATTTATAGCCTTATCTCTATTCAGGTGCCATCTATAGAGCATATGTATTGCACAGTATTTGATAAGAATCCAGTTTAGAAAATAGTTTAGAAAGGATATTGTCAGTACTACTTTTAAATTATTTCTATTTTATTTTCCTGCATTATGGGTGATATTCTCTTTGAGGCTATAAAAATCCAGCTACTTGACAATTTTATTTTTGCCATGTTTCTAATACAGCAAAACCCATCATGGTTCCCTTTGGTTTACAGTTGTAAGTGGGAAACCCAAGCGGGTTTTACTCCCCATGGAAGATCATACATAATTTGCGATAACATACTGCACTGCATTATATTATACTGGTTACTATGACAAGGATTTGAATTTCTTAAAAGCATGCAAGACTACAATTTTCCCAAAAGCTCCCTCACTGCAGTTTTTAATATAATCACAAAGTTCTTGATCAAATGTGCTAATGCTTTAAGGACATCAGTCAACAGCAGCACTTTCAGTGCACACGATTAATGCTATCTGTACTAATATCATTAAGGGATAGCTCAAGAGATGTATCTATCATCAATTAGTTAACTGCTGATAATGGCAGCCTCTGAGTCTCTCTTGTAAAATCACACGAACATACTAAACCCAGGGCTCTGAATAATCACTGGTTTTTAAGAATGAATTTAAAATATAGAGAGTAGGATAAATTTTCAGGATATACTCCTTACTAAGATACCCAATAACAACGTAGATCTCTCACAGGTACATACTCATGACCTAGCCATTTTATGCGAACATGTATTAACACAATCACCTTCCCCCATCCCTATTAAGGCTACAAATTTAATTATTCTCAAATACCCTTTTATAAAGACCGCATTTTTCTTTGCTCCTAGCGACCATCAGTGCAGGACTGGCATGAAGCTCTCTCAGGAATCAATGCACAGTTCTTCCAGCCCAACATCTGCGACCAGCTGCAGCACTATTAACTAATAACCCAAAGCCAGATCCCAAACTCACATTTCTCATTTGGTAAGGCAAGTTATCAGCGATACACTAGGGCCTCAGTAATTAATCTATCGGAGAATATAGCAATGATTTCATGACAGCTGGTGAATATTCAGGGTTTGGGGTTGGATATTTGTTTGCCTTTTTTTTGGAGATGTATCTGCTTGAGCTAGCATCAAATAAAGCTATGAAAAAGCTGTCATGAAGTCCTTTTGCATAACCTTCATAATATTGGATCAATGCTGCCTCTATACTATTTGTGGAGAATTATTAAAGGCACGGTCATCTCTGAAATAACGGAAAACGTGAGTCAGCAGTCTGCTCCAAGTTACCTTTTTTCTCCATTCGTTTCATATCCATCAGCTTCTCCACGTTGTTGGGATCGTTCAGCCACAGCTGCATGCGGACAAAGGGTTCCCGTCCCTTCAAACTCAGCTTGTGCCAGGGCTTCGGGCGAGCCAGAAGGTCTGAGACAGAGCCTTGTGTTAGCCCTAGGATTGTCTCCCCAAACAAACGCTGACCTAATACAAAATTGAAAATCGCATGAATTCATTCAGCTAAGAGACGAGGCTAACTAAAAAGACAGAACATGTCTACGAGATCATCTGTCAATTATTCTTACTTCAGAATTGCTTGAAAACCCAAAAGAAACATTTAGAAGAGTAAAAGCTCTGCCCCCCCGCTAGAAGTATAAATATGGAGCTTTAGTTTAATCCTTAGGATCTGACTGCGGCAAAGAGGGGCGCGCAACGCATTCGGGGACCGGGACCTTACAGTAAAACAGTGTGCAAAAAATAAAATTAATGAGATTAAAACCAAACTGAACTTTTAGCTAATCAGGCAACTAGTGAGAGCAGTGAGGCTACTTAGCTCTTATGCAGGAGGGCAGTGCAACAGCTTTGTTCCAACAAGGCAATCCAAACATTTCAAGCAATCAGTGAACCAAGACCAATGCAATCCCCCCACTCAGCAACGGTCACATAAGTGTCCTCAAAGACACACGTATGTATTTTCTGTGATATACTATCTGTGGTGTTCTAACTGTGTCTTACCAACTACAGGTAATTGCATTTTACAATATAACAGATTTTTTTTAGAGCCTCTACAGTACTTCTACTTAAGTATACTTAATTTTAGCTCTCTTCCAAAATGCTATTGTCTAGCAGGGTAAAAACTGTCTATGCTTTTCAATGTACAGCGTTTGGACATGCATTGGTAAGATTAGTTTTACATGGTTAAGATCTACCTTTTATCAAGGACTGCGGAAAATGCTTGTTCAGCTCAAACCCAACCATACAGCTGGTTTTCTAAAACCCTTCAATGTTCTTCCTAAGCTAAACTGCCTTGATATGCAACAGCTTTTGTTACAAGACAGAGCCTGAAGTCATCTGAGTCATCGCCAGTGATTTCTAATAGAAGTGCAGCTATCATGTATTTTCAAGGTAACCCAAAGATCTTTCCATACCAACCAAGTTTAGGCCTCAGGGTCTTGTGTCTGATCTGCAGCTTCTGAATGCCCTTGCTAACACAAAGCAGAACGCTCTTCCTTCACTTCCTAGCAGTGCCAGCAGTCTTAGCCAGTGGCAACAGATCCCTAAGGGACAATGCAGATGCACAGGGGCTTGTGCTCCTATGGCTCTGCAGGACATGCCCACACTTGCAAAAGCACCATCAGCTCCTGCCTTCACAGCCTCACCTGACCCTGACACAAAGAGGTCCTGGAAAATATATGCTCTACAGACTCACGCCTCGTGCTAAACTCCATGAATCAACTTCTCTTCAAAAACATCCCAAGACTTTTGCCTTAGTGATTTTTTTCACCTGTATGGGGAGAGGGAAAAGTGGGACCAGCCAGAAGCTGCAGAACGTCCCGTTCAGATGCATCTGGCAAGTGGGTCTGCAAAGCTTTTGGAGGAAACAGCTGAGATGATGAAAGGCAGGAAGGGGAAACAAGGACAGGGCTAACATGACAGAGTCTGCTAATAAGCTCTAGAACTAACCCTGAAAATGGTTCTTACAGACTGAACAGAAATCTAAATTCAGCATTCACTTCAGTTCCTAAGTAATAAGTGATTTTTCACTACCCTCAGTATCAGGAAAATCAGACAAAAGAAGAAATTCAGGGCCAACTTTAGATCATGTGTATTGCAGAGTTAACCTGTTTGTATTTAAAAACATCAGTAAGGTCTCATCCATTTGCCTTTGAACTTGACAGCTACTAGCAAGATAAGATGGCTACTTTAAAAATCTTTTCATTTGCCTTCATAAATAACTTTCCTTTAATGCTCCCCCCAGTTTCTAACCCCAGGCTGTGCTCAGGCTGCAGTGTGGTGAGTGCTTCTTCCAGGAGCTGCTGTGCATTGCCAGCGTGGCCACTGCCCCCGCGGCTGCACAGTAAATCGGAGCAGGGAACTGATCTGAGTCAAACCAACCTATTAGGAATAAAATGGCCTCTTCTGACTCAGACCAACTGCTCCGGTTTATTGTGTGGCCACGTGAACAGGAATACCAGCACAAATTTGAAAAAGATTTGGGAACAAGCGGCCCAAATCAGGTATGAGCAATGCTGATAAAGGAAATGAACTTCAAACTACAGCCTAAAAATTAAAAATGCAAACATGGAAGGAGGTAACATCATGTTCTCTAGGTGTTAAGAACAGAGCTAAAGATGTGTGTGTCATTTGTTTTATCCCAGGATATGGCAGGACAGGATAAGACTTCCAGGCTAATGGGGAATGTGTTAGAAGTCATTCTCAGGAGGTAGCAAGTGTATCACACTCCATCTTCATCAGAGTGCTATTAATAACTGGAATATTTTTAAGCACAGGTCTCCTAAAACTTCTGCTAATTCTTCCTATCTTGTACCCTAAAATCCTTCGTGCCTGCTCCCACTGATGGAGCTTCTCACAGACAAAATTTTCTGTAAATTATGGTGGTTTAATGGTTAGTCCTGGCCCTTTCTGCAAAATCCCCACCATTGTAATCCTTCAATGGCTCACTGCATTTGCTTCCCTCTTGAAATTATATGTTGCCCAACAGGGAATCACTGATAATACTATGACATTTGGGACCAGGAATACCGGCAACCTCTCAGCGTTAATGCTGCCAGCATCGTTTGCTAAAATGGTGACTGCTGAACAATTGCTAAAAGGCATGGGAGGAGAGACATGCCAAACGTATCTTGAATGGTTTTGCACAACCGTGGTCTTTACTGGCTGATGATATTGGAACAACTGAGGCACCACCAGTTGCCTAAGACAGGTTCACAAGGCCCTGTGGCCTAAGACAGAGAAACCTGTGCACCGAGTCAATCTGGCGCACTAGCACACTGAGGGCGCAAAAGGAGACATTGAAACTGGTTCCACACCTAATGCAGAGTTTGGGGCACATTTCCTGGCTCTTCTGCTGCTTTTTAGGCTTGTCAGCCACACTGTAGGAAAACAAAAATCATGGGAAATAAAAAAGACTAAGTAAAAATGGCATCAAAGCAAATGTAAACAAAAATAATTTTTCAAACCTCTCTGGAACACCAGAGCAGGTACAGCACTCAACAGCATTTTGCCCAAAATCTAGGGGCTTGAACCTGCAAACCCTTACCATGACCTGTGGCTTTATCTCTACATTACCTCCACTGAACAAGCAACCACAATCTGCCCATGCCAATGTGCACGAGGCAAGTAATTCTGCTGGGTTCAGTGGAACACAATCTCATGCAGGGTATGTCCATGATCAGGGCCATTTTAATTTTCTTCCCAAATTATGTTAAATGAGAACTTGCAACCTCCCCCATCCCAGTACTTTTCCCCGTTAAAAAAAAAAAAAATTAAGATAATAACATTATTCTGTGTCTATCCAAAAAAAGGCTTCCTTACATACTAAAATAAGAGTTTTAACTTACACAGTCATAACATTCAGATGACATGGATGCAATTATTCTCACGTAAGTATCAGCAGTCTACATCTAAACTTATCTTTTTGGTCCTATCAGTAGTGAATGGAGGAAACTGGTACTTCTGGAGAGTGACTCATCCCAACCACCTCAGAGATCTATTTTGAACATCTAAACGCAGGTGAGATCAATCCCATGCTAAGCCCCAGAAGCACGTGCAGGTAACACTGGGGCAGCCTTCCTGCCTTCCTGCTAGAGACTTCAAAGCACTCCTGAAGGTTTCCCAATGCCTTGCGAGGGAAGCAAGTGTTAAACACATGTGAAGAACTAGTGATTTAGAGGCACAGTGGCAGTGTAAAGTGTGGATTTCCCATACTCAGATCAGGTTATTCCCTTTGACTATTCCAAATATGTTGCCACATCAACTTTACACTTAATTCAACACCCAAAACTCATCTGTAAGCAAAAGCAGGCTTAGCTTTGCACATTTCTAAGCAAAGTAACTAAATGGCCCCATACACTCACGTACAGGTTCATCTAAACCTCAGCTGAGTCTGAATTTACCCTCCCAGCTCTACAGCCACACTACGCTTTTGCTTGTGATGCACCTCCCTCTCCAACCATGCTGGACTCCTCTACTTCACCTTTGCCTAAAATGCTGGGGCCTTGAAGCTATAAGCATGGGAAAAACAAGCATTTCTCAAGGGGAGATCTTGCTGGCTTTTGGGTTTTGGTCTTCTGGACAGCCTGCTGGACTGTACTTAGGGAGGTGGGAGCAGTATCTGGCTGGTGAGCCAGGAGCAGAGTTTACTAAGAGCAAGGATACGATGACATTTTAAGTACAGTGTGACAATCTGAAAGGATTTTTCTACCAGTTAAAAAAAAAAAAAAAAAAAAGACAAACCAACAACTTTTTAGCAGATTAAAGCTTAGGCCAGAATCAAACCCAAGTATTCTTGTAAACATCTACTGAATTCTAGTTTAAAAATAAAAGCACGAACACTTTCATTTTCTTTCAGTCAAGAAATGAGAATAAAGTGATTTACCAAGATTGTTGTCCGTTAGCACTTCTTTGACCCTCTTCGTAATGCCATACGTATCCAGCTCAGGGGACATAGCAACCAGCTCTTGAATGCTGAGTGCCGAGTGGCCCGGCAGCGGCAAAGGTGTTGTAGATTGGGATTCAGAAGCAGATGGCTCGCTAGATTCTTGGGATTTGCCATCCTTACTTGTCTCTATAGCAGGACAGGGTTGCTGTACCAATTCAGTCAGGCTTTTCACTGATTCACTGGAACTCATGGGAGATTCAGGAGCAGGACTGCAACTGGCAGAAGTCTTTGGAGTGCTTTCTGTAATTAAAAAAAGAAAAAAGTCCCCACTTTAGCATAATTGTAATGTTTTGATTGCAGGATATTTAACTTTCCTTCTCATTTAAATTCTACCTACTTAAAGAAATGCCTAAGTATGCAAAATGCTACTTGTTATGACTTGGTTACTAAAAAGCCTCTTTTTAAAAACAGAATTATTTTCTAATTTTATCTTGAGTCATCTCTGCTTTCTTATAAAGACAAGATGTACAAATACAAATAAAAATGAGGAAAAAATGAAGTGCAATAGTCTGTAAGTTTGCAAGAAATTTCCTTGGTCAGGAGATCTCACAGTTTTGCTATCCACAACATTTTTCTATTAGGATGCTTTTAAATCTATCATTATAGACTAGTTTAAGCCTCCTTCTGTGACTTGTAAGAAACTCACTCAGCCACTGTTTTGTCATGTCAGTAAGGGTTTTTCTGCAACTGATACAACTTTATATCTTGAGAGTGTTATTGATTTCATTTTGTTTCTTATCACTCACGTCACATTTTTGCACTTCTTTTTGCCCAGAAATAACAAGATTAAAATACAGTTTGTAATTATGTTGTATTAATTAACATGTTTGAGAATCCAACATAAAGACAGCTAGTGGATCAGGAGACACCCAAATCTGTTGTGACACTTTGTTTAAAAGAAAGCTTTCTGAATCTGTTAATTTGCCAACAACAATAGGTTCTGTACAAAATGTTGTTTTCCCCTAATCTCTAACAGAACATACCAACTGAGCTTATGCAGAAAATCCAGACATCTAAGTGTACAGTCTAAACATTTTTAAAAGCAGCAACACGCAGACCATGTGGTTTAGAAGAACAATTCCCCTCAAAAGATAAAGAGCACATGTGATTCCTCCTTTCAGTTCTTTCCCATTTTTGTGGGGCTGCTTCCTCCTCCTTGCTGTCTCACATCTCATTACTTGACACAGTTAATTGCATGTATCTCAGATTCATACACCAGTGGATTTGTCTCGAGATCTCTGGAGGAAGCTTACGATGCTCTCAGTTTACAAGGATGAGGCCAGCCTACATCAAAAACTTAGTCCCTCTAACAGAATTGCGTTTTTCTGAGCACTGTAACACCACTGTGAGAGTGGTTCGCTCTGCAGCATCACCATCGCACTGATGGCTAATAGCAAATTTCACTAATTCTCAAGTTTGTTTGTTACCCAGAATACTGTCAAATCATTATACAACATGCAGCTTGTGTGTCATGGAAACATATCCCGAACACTAAAGGAAAACACTACATAATTAAAAGTAGGGCTGAAATGAAGCAGGGTGCACAGTATAATTGTGTTGTTCAAGGTAATAGAAGCTTTTGTGATGCTGCATTTAAGAGAGGTTCCCTGACACACTTACATAAAGTTGCTCTCTCAAACCAATCTATTGGACTTTTTCTTTAGTGCTTTATGAGAGATGCAAAAGAGGCACACATAAAAGGAAAGTAAGGCACATATAAATCTTTAAGGTAATAGGGATCCTACAAATCTTATTTCTTTTCTCTGTTCACCCTAGGTCATCATACAACTGAATATAAAACCCAGCAAATGTTATTTTTGTATCAGGAGCAGCAAAGGAATTGTACTGTAAATTTGCCCTGATTCACCCATGCGAGGGACCAATTTGGCAGATCATCCATCTTGTTCACTGTACACTGTCAGGGATGGCATGAATTCCCTACATGATAAACAGATTTCTTCTCAGGTCTGTGTCCTTTAACCCACAGCAAGGTCAAAATTATGGCTGCCTAGCTAATAAACTGCACGGCACTCATTCAAGTTCCCTCTAATTTTGTCCCTTGTGCCAGCTTATACAAATCTTACTGAATAACTAGAGCAGCTGCAAATTTCCTATACAATTCCTCATCCATGCACTGCAAACCACATGCACACACGGAGCGCAGAAAAAATCCAAAATAAAAAAACCCCAAGCACACAGGACTAAACAAAAGCACTTACTAATGCTTCTTTCTCCCTCTCCTTTCCCTGCCCAGCCTAATTATGTAAACAACAATCTATATTATCATCTATCACTGAAATGCTCTATGTTGCTCACGTATTAGCTTATTTATTTTTTATATCACATATCAAGAGCTTACTTCAATTTCATTTTTAAGACCAATCTGCTGCTTATTTACTCAAAAAGGTAGGATTACCTGAATCTAATTTTGGAAGGCAGTACAGATGACAAACTGCTTTTTTTTCCTCCAACGAAAGGCAAGTGTATAGTGATTTCAGATGAAGCATTATGAGCGTACAGTACAAATAACTCAAAGTATGTTCCCCATTCATACTTAGGATTTTTCCCTTATGGAAAAACATGTTTGATATCACATAAATATTTGAGGAAAAGATCCATTATTTGGAAAATTCAATTCAATAATCAAATAATGCAAACATTCCCCATTAATCTACTTTAAAAATTAAATAGACGTTTAGAGTACAAGTGACTGCTGACAGAACAAAGGGGAAAATTGAATGTATTCACTATTACAGATTTAACTGTCAATCCACAGCCATTTCACATGTTTTATGAAATAATCTGTCTGTATTCATTTCTCTCAAGTTCCTCACAGGACAAAGAAACAAATTCAGGACATCTGAAAAATACCTATTAAGATTTCAAAAGTAGTAATTGAACATTTCCAATGAAAATAATACATTGAAAGCTTATTTCTTTAAAACGTGTTCTTCTTTTTTAACCCCAGACTTCACTGAAGAGTAGCACTAACTTAAGAGTAATGCAGTTTCTTATGAGTGAATAAGTGGTGTTCACTGAATGCTTACACATTTTTATTTAGTCAGGAAGAGATCATTTTGTCAATGTGAGTGTAAAACTCCATTATGGTAGGCTGTACAACCTGCAAACCCCACAGCCACCATTTCTTGATGAAGTTATGTTAATAAATTCCAGATAAACTTTGCTAAACCGAAGGGGTGTTGCATTTTGCTTTCCAACAGCCTCTATCCAGTTTAAAAGCCAAAGCAAAAGCCCAAAAGCTTAAAAAAGAAGGTGCTAGAAATAAAGGGCCGGAGAGATTGAGAGCATCACTAGTGACGAGGTCACTGCAGAACTTGGGACTTTTTTGTCTCAAGTAGCCAAAAACATCAGCCATGCCCTGCGCTTTGTAGAGGATGGGAGAAACAGAGTCTTCCCAAACTAACTTGGTGGAAAAATGGTGTCCATTACCTCCCGGGCACGTGATGAAGACACAGCTCAACACGACAATTTTAATGAGTGGGAAACTGGTCTACCTTTAGCACAATTACAGGTTGCTGTTGAGAAACATCATTAAAGATTCAAATACACAAGAAATGCATTAAGTGATCCAAATCTCCTAAAGTTGCAAGTATAACTGAACCATGAAAGGACAAACGCTCTACCATGCACTTTTTACATTATTAATTCAAAATATGTGTCTGGGGTATAGGGAAGTTGGGCACTTCCAAACAATTTTTCAAAGCGCATTCAAATATGCAGCATAGAAAATAATAATCAAATGTAAATCAAGTACTAGGAAGTGATGTCTGCATAAATGGGCCAGCAATTTGAAATATTTGGCAAGAGCAATTGGCCTCTGTTCATAGCTAAAACATGAAGACAACTCAAACACTAACACCGGCTATTTCACAGTTGATGAAAACAGCTAAGAGCGAGCTATGAGTATACAGTGAAGGTAAGCATTCAAGTCTTTGAAGGGAAATGTGTCTTCATAAAGACAAATATATCTGATGCAGTTCGTGAATGCCAGAGCGCCGTACTTGGGAACTCATCACCCCTGGCAGAACACATGGCCCTTATTCTTAAGTCCGGAAATTCTTCAGTTTTGATTTTTCCTACTACAATACTAGAGAGGGATGTATAATCTCACACGAAGATACGTAAACGAATGGAAACAAAGTCAACATTATATAAATACCTTCTGTTTTCTTTTAAAATACTATTTTCCCAATATAAAATTGCTGCTTGAATGACCATCTTACTGCAAGAAAACCCCAAACCATCATCACATTCCTCCCCACCTCTTAGTAGTTAGCAGTTAAGAAACTGAACAAACTTTGCAAACAATTTAGCATATAGGACCAGGGTTTGTCTGAGCATTTTACAAAACTGGTTGAGAACCACAGCAAATTGACCTTGCCTTAATTATATGAACACAGAAAATCTTTTGTCGTCTTGCACTCCTTAGCACAATGGATGAAGACAGTGATGCTTTGGTCCCATCCTTTACACCTTCCCCATAGCTTCTATCATGACAGTGTTTTGGAAAATGTGAGAAAGTCTGAAAACTGAGTTGCAGACTCAGTTCATTGATTATGGTGGTTTTTCTGAACTTAATATTAGATTTTCTTACTCTTCTCCAACTACAAGATTTCCCACCCCCATGCTGGGGTCAGGTCCCCGGTACTGGATCCTGGGTCCTGAATTGCTTGAACACTGGCTGTAGAACATTTTGGACTATCATTATCCCACCAGTGGCCTGCAAATTACCTGGAAACACTTCCCCCAACACAGTACCAGCCTGACACATTCATCTACGAGGTCTGATCATGTTCTGCCATCGTAATGTGACAAAATCCCTACAGGGTGTAACGATCCGCGGGTTGCGCTGGGCTCCCCTCCTGCAGCACTCCTGAGCATCACTCAGCAGTCAGAGACTTTTAATTATATTCTGCAGAACTGCTGGGCACTGGTCAGGAAGGATCATTTTTGTGACACAGAGGAACTTTTCTGACCACAGGAAGTAACCTAACGTGGCTCTCCATACAAAAGCAGCGGTACAGCTCCGATCCACAGCACGCCTCAGCTGGATCCGCCTTCCGAAGCTCAGGACACCCCAGATGCAAAGACTTGCAGGTGACGGCCGCTACAACCTCCCCAGAAGATCACAGATGCCTACACAACCTGACAGCAGTCCCGGATGTATCCCCCCAACAGAGGTATCTGGATGACAGAGCAGTGTTGAGACACGGATACGG